TTTCAAAAGTGAAGACAAAATATATGAAACAATGTTTTCAGAATTTGAACAACAGCCAGTGCATGACAGTGGTTCCTGAGCAAAGGAAAGTAAACAAAATAAGTCCACAATCTTGTTGTGAAGAACAGAATCTAGTGAGAGGAGGAAGACAAAATTTCACTGATTGCCATTTTCAATTTGCAAGAGTTGTCTGAGGCAGAGTTTGTTCTAGGAGTTGCCTGATGTTCGCCAGGAAAAAAGACCAACTTGTTAGCACCATTCTCGCTGTCTACTTGCATTCAGTAAAACTTGACAAACACAATCGTTGAGTGTCTAGCATATACTACACACTCATTACAGAAAAATAAGACTTAGTCCCGCCCTGAAGGTGCTCAGAACCTTGTGGGAGTATCAGGCAAACTAGGCTGTGATGAGGCTGTAACAGAAGTACACAAGAGCGCTATGGGGTAAGACAGAGTGGGGCAGTGGACTCTGACTTGAGGGAAGGAGTTGGAAAAAGACTCACCAAGAGAGAAGTTGAAGGATGAGGGAGATTTGGATAGGTAGGAGGAGCAAGAGGTGTACCGCTCAAGGAGGAAGAAACAGCTTCAGCAAAGACAGAGCAAAGGATTCCTGCATGGAATGATAAGCAGTCACAGCAAGCAGCGACAGTGATACTTTTATAAGTATTCTTAAATTCTTTCACATCACCTTCAAAACTGCCCTTGGTTTTCCATCTCATCCAGAGTAAACGAATAAGTCTATGAAGTGGCCTACAAAGCCCTCCAGAACCTGGACCCCATTGCTTCCGTGACTTTATCTCCTACTACTCTCCGTGTGGCCCACTGTCCACCAGCATGCTGATTTATAGGAAGTTCCTGAAGAACCCTATAGCCCCAGGATCTTTGCATATGATTGCTTCCCTGCCTGGAATACTCTTCCTTTAGACACCCATGTGGTCACCTTTCACTTCCTTCAGGTCGGTGCTCAAACATCAGAGATAAGAAAGGCCTTTCCTGCCCATCCTGTTCAGCATAATGCCCCATTCCTACCCTGGGTGCACTTTATCCCCTACCTCTATAATGATTTACAAAACAC